TCCCCCCCCCCCCCCCATTGGTGTAAGTCCATTCCTTCTTTAAACGGAGATATCACATAATTTGTGATTAATTTAGTGCAACCTTTTTATTTATAACTAACTAATATTTAATATCTTTAAAAATTTAAAATTGGTCAATGAAAAAAATTGTGTAGCGATAGATTATGAAAGTGGTGTAAATCCAATTTCCATAAATATACATAGGTGGCCGGATCGCGTAAAAAAAATTTCTTGTACACACCACAGGATTATAATGATGTTATAAAACAATGTAGAAACAATAATAAATTTATTTTTCACGAAATGAAAGGAGAGAATTTCATTTCAACAAAAAATCTGCAAAATACAATTCAAAAACGAGTAAGAAAAAATACTAACAGAGAAAAGGTAAACTGGCTGAAAATATGTTAGATCAGGTTTTAATAATCATGATAATATATATAATAATATGTATTATTATATTATAAATATTATATATATATTATATGTATTATTATATTATTATATTATATATAATAATACATATAATAAATATAATAATAATAATCAAAAATATCGATGGAGGACACAGAATTTAGGACGTTAGATTTATCACCTACATATTGGGGAGGACCGCCAAAATTTGAAAGAATCGTCCTGGCGCCTTTGTATAACCTATTACATACGAAAAATATTTCAAAACACTGACACATAAAGAGCATAAATAAATAATAGCAATATCGTATGTTAAGTTTAACAATATATAAATATAATTAACGGTCAAAGTAAAAAATATTACTCTTATCTTATTCCTTGTTATTATTTATAAACAAAATTGGACTAATACAAAATATATTTTAAAGGATATCTAATTTTTTATAATTTAAATTATTGAATTAGTCAATTATTTACAATTGACTAATTATGAAAATGGTGTGAGTCCATTTACAGCCTGTAAATGTATAATAATATATTATTTTAATTAAATTAGCCTAAAAGAAATTTATATAATAAATTTATATATTATTACATATTGATAAATTAGTAGAAACATTGCCGGATTTGACATCATAAATTTATATTTTTTAATTGACTAATATGCTAACCTTTAATTTTCTCGAAACAACAAAATATAGACACACACCACTTTCAAAATAAACGGTCCATATAAAAGTTTATACTATTCTTCAATTTACTTAGCATTATTTAAGGAACTGAAAACAGGATAAATATATGTAGAGGGATGAGCAAGTCGTGATTTTTGTGTACTTATTTTATTGTACGCTTATAATGAAAGCAGAATTGGGAGTTGTGTACATAAACGTTCAATGTTCAGCATTTAGTTTTAGAAGTAAGATGTTTTCCGAAGTATTTTTCCATGAGTACTATGTAGTCCTAAGATCATTGAGTATAAATTTCAAAGCACTGAAGCCTCGTTCCATACGAACTTGTGCAGCAGGACCATCGTCAACTGCTACTGCTGATTCACTTAGAATCGGAATTTTAAATATTCTACTACGTTTACATTTCATTTAACTATTTATAAGACTCGACTTACTCGACTTTTTCAATACAGAGTAACTGTCACTGACGAACTAGAACTTTTCCTCATTTCCGAAAAAGTACAAATTTTCTATTTATGCATAAATATATCGAATAAAGGTTTCGGTGGCTTTATAATTGTTCTCTTAGAACAGAAAGATAAAAGTCAAAACGTAATTGTAACATCAGTACCAATTGAAAATTTTAGCAGGATCATTCAAGCCAACAAATTGAGTACTCGAATACTTATTGAGTGAATATCTGATTATTCCAATCTTTTGTAGTACTCGAATGCTCATTGAATGAGTATCCTAATCATAAGTTGGAAACAATAATGATATTGATTTTGGTTCTTGAAATACTCATGGAAAACTGACAATGTCTCATAACTGTTATAAGTGGAGAACGGATTTTATGCATTTATGACAAAAATAGGTATTTAGAATGACAAACAGTTGAAAGATTAAGAACATTTAATAATGTCAACACGTTACTTTCGTCCAACTAAAATTATTAAGGAAAATACGCAACTTTTAAGTTGCTCTCATTTTTTGCAACAAATGCAGACAATATTTATTTTGCACAAAGATCCAACCAATATTATATCGATTGCTTTTTGGTTCTATCTGGTAGATGAAAAAATAATCATAGCTGTAACTTGTTAGCAATACTCGTATTATTTTTTATTCATATGACATAAATATTTCAAAGTTCATTACGTTGTCTAGATATATTAAGCTATCGAACAGTAGTACATATATATTCAACAATGAACACTTTTAATTGTAATAAAGTCGATGATAATTTTATACTCCCTGTGAAGCGTTCCATAATACAGTATAAATTCTTCCATTGGCGCTCAGATTGTACATAAAAATGAACAATTTGAGAACAGGAGATACGATTATCCGAACCTTGCGGTTCGTTTTTATAGTTGTTGACAATCGGTAACTATAAAAACGAGCCGCATGGTTCGAATAATCGTATTTCCTCTTCCCAAATTGTACACTTTTGTGCACTATCTGAGCGCCAATTAGGGAGAATTCACTGTAGATATATCTTTATTCAGAACGCTTTAATCTGAAACGTCCGAATTCAATTTTGAGGTGATTATATGCGACAAGTGAAGTCGCTTAGAGAATCAGCTTCCGTATACAACACAAACTGGCCATTTCATTACCCCAAGTTACATTCCAACATTTTTATAGCTTCGCATAAAACTGCAACTATTAAGTTGCAGTGACAAAGTATCAAGGGGCAAAGAGAAACAAAAGAAATTGCCAAGTCAGAGTGTATAGCGCGTGGTATTCCCATAAAACGCTCCGCGTATAGGAAGCAGCGGCATTGAGAACTTAATTCTCAGCTTTGTGCGTTCACGACGGTGTTTCATTAAACCATGAAATGACGTCGAAGCCTTTAAGACGGCTCTGCTCAATGAACAAAGTGGTAAAAGTCCCGGTTTTATTAAACTCGCCGGTATTATCAGACCGTTGGGGATGCACAAGTGGGATAAATCAAGATCTTAATGCGGAATTTTATCAGACGAATCGTGTAAATGTATTCGATGCTCGCGTGATCGCGCGTACAGTTACCTCTCGCAAGCAGTTTTATGGTATTCCAAGCGACAGTTACTTTTTTTCCACGATACGCGGACTGTTACCAGTCTGTCGCAGTTTGTTAACAATTTTAAACGACCACCGACAGCGTGACTTTTTTCGAGGCCAATAATTCAAACCGTCTGTCCGTTTTGTCAAGGGAATGCCATCGGGTGAGGGGCCCAAATAAGACAAGTCTTCCGTTGAGTCATGAAACACATATGCAGATTTTCTAAAAACTATTCACAATTAATGTTAACTAATATTAACTACCACAAAAAAATGATCATCACACGATTAATGATTATTGCTTGTTAATCATGTCCAACAATTACATTTGCTTTGATTACTTAAGTCATTTATTAATCATGATTACTTAATAACATTAATCATTAAACACGAACATGACCTCACGTTCGTCCTAATCGTTAATCATTAATTAGATTACTGTTTGCCCGGCTCTGTAAAATAGTTTCAATTCCAATTTATTTTTCTTTTCGTTAACATAGAAAAAAGAATGCCTTGGATGTTTTAATTTCATGTAGGAGATAAGATCGAGTGGCGATTAAATACGCTCGAATACGCTAAACCAGCTTGACGTAAATGTAAAAACATCGTATAATTAAGCATACATAAAATTATAATGTTCGTGTGTATTTCCAATCATTTACAGACTACGATAATTGCACTCTTCCTTACGAGCTACCTATGAGGGTGAATCCTGTCTACGAAATAACGGAAATGTATACGTACGTGTTATTCTGCATCTGTTTAATACCAACGAGTATGTTACTAACAATCGGTGCAACTGGTTCGGATAGCCTTTTGGTGACACTGAACTTTTACATTTGTAGTCAACTCTCGATTTTATCTCGACGTGTTAGAAACATCGACAGCGATCCGCAGAAACACTTCTCAAAAATGCGACCACTTGTCGAACGACACACTGAACTACTGGGGTGAGGTGTTCAAGCTTATGTTACTTAATGTGGAATAATGATTTAATGCAATCGTCCCTTTCGCGCAAGAGCATCGAGGTACAATTTAATTATATCTATTGCAGGTTGGCAACAACCTTGGCAGAAACGTTCAGTTCCCTTATGTTCGTGCAAACGGTGGGTTTGATATTCTCGCTGTGCATCGTGATCTACCAATTACTTATGGTACTTACTTCACAAATATCTCAGATTATTAACGCTAGGATTACACAGTTCTTCACTGGACTAACGTAGGGGAGACCAGGGTTGAAAGAAACGATTTGACGTTAGACTACGATTACGATTACACAAAAACTGTTACATTCACGACATAAATATTATGGTAAACTGTTACCAAGTTATATGATATTATTTAACCGCGGTATTTTCGATTTGTAATAAGTAATGTTTAAGTTATTAACAAAAAATGGAGACTGTGGAAAATGTAACCATCCGTGTATGTAACCAAGTGTTGCTTTTAAAAGATCAAGTTAAAGATTTCTAGAAAAAGACATTACTCGCACATGAAACAAGTAAACACAATTTGAAGTATTTAAGAAAAAGTTAATTTAGGCTACCGGAAAGTCTTTCTGGTTAATACACATGGTGTTCCATAATTATGTTAACACTTGGAAAGAGGTGAATCCAGAGGTCATTTGAAGTAACTTTTCTCTATGCAATTCACGGCTTTGTTTACGAATTATTAACGAAAAACCGTGAGCAATGAGAGGTGAGATCGGCTGGCGCAAGGCGGCTGAGCTAACGAGCAATCGAAACTCAGTTCCGTTCATTGGCTCAGGCACCTCGATCCAGTTGATCTCGCTTCTCATTGGTCACTATTTTTCGTTAATAACTCGTAAACAAAGCCGCGGATTCCATTTTCGCTAAGGAAAAAGTTACTTCAAATGACCTCAAGAATCACTCCTTTCCGGGTGTTAACATAATTATGGGACANGAGATCGGCTGGCGCAAGGCGGCTGAGCTAACGAGCAATCGAAACTCAGTTCCGTTCATTGGCTCAGGCACCTCGATCCAGTTGATCTCGCTTCTCATTGGTCACTATTTTTCGTTAATAACTCGTAAACAAAGCCGCGGATTCCATTTTCGCTAAGGAAAAAGTTACTTCAAATGACCTCAAGAATCACTCCTTTCCGGGTGTTAACATAATTATGGGACACACTATATACAGGGTGTCCCACAATTATTTTAACAGCCGAAAATGAGGGGTAGCTGAGGTCATTTGAAGTAACTTTTTCCTTTGCGAATTTGCAATCTGTGGCTTTGTNTTTTAACTACATAACAGTGATATTTTTAAGAAAAACGCTGTTCACCTTTACTTTAGAACGTCTGAAGAATATTTACTCATTTTTCGGACCCGAAATAATATGAAGTTTAACCGTGACAGCCGTTTTAATTTTCTGGTGTGCATGACACCTCGTGTGTACCATATGAAATTTTTATGCAAGGTGTACAGTCAAGATTAACGAATGATTTGCAAAGCTGATTTAATAATAAATAAGGGACGTAAAGGATTTGTTTATTAGAGAGATATGAAAAATATTATCAGTAAGAAACTCACCCATTTAGTTGAGGATGCATTTGCTGGCTGAAATTCATGATGTCGAAGGGCACTGACCTTGTACAACGTACAGCTGATCTTTCACTGCACT